CTAACTCCAGTAAGATTAGCCCATATCACAAAATCTGAAAACCAGAGATGTTGGCATGGATACGGAGAGAAGGGAACACTTCGACACTGCTGGTGGGAATGCAAATTAATTCCTTCCCTTTGGAAAAACATCTGGAGAACACTGAGAGAACTAAAAGTAGATCTGCCATTTGCTCCTGCAATTCCTTTATTAGGTATATATCCAGAAGACCAAAAATCACATTAAAACAAAGATATTTGTATTAGAATGTTTATTGCAGCCCAATTCATAATTGCTAGGTCATGGAAGAAGCCCAAGTGCCCATTGACCCACAAATGGATTAATAAGTTGTGGTATATGTGCACTATGGAATATTATGCAGCCCTAAAGAAGGATGAAGACTTTACCTTCTTCATGTTTACATGGATGGAACTGGAAAATGTTCTTAGCAAAGTATCTCAAGAATGGAAGAAAAAGTATCCAATGAACACAGCCCTATTTTGAAACTAATTCATAGCTTTCATAGGAATGTTATAACCTAATTATAACCTTAGAATATGGGGAGGGGGTAGATGGGTGGAGGGAGGGTGATTGGAGGGGTCACTTCTATGGTTTATCCTACAAGGGTACAAGTGAATATTTCTAAAAGCAGAGTATGAATGTCTTAACTTAATAATTAAGAAAATGACATGAAGGCTATGTTGACCAGTTTGATAAGAGTATTTCAAAATGTATTTGAAAACACCACACTGTACCCTGTTATTGCATTAATGTACACAGCTATGATTTAATAATAATAAAAAATAAAAAATATGACAAAATATTATCAATTGTCACACCTAGAGTGTGGATATACAAGTGTTAATTATTTTTGTATTTTATTTTAAAAACCTCTTTAAAATAAAGAACAAAAAAAATGCAGAAACAACAGGGTTTGTAAACCATACGACAGTAGAATTGAAAGAAAATGACAAAGCACTTACCTAAGGAGTTGGTTGATGGCACTAAAACATACACAGAAAAGCTTGAGGTGAATTATCAAAATTTGGATCCCTAATCTTTCAGCTTCAATCATTGTCACCCCCTTCTCAGGAGCTGAAGCTCTGGCTCAGAGAAACATCACTGACCTGGTGATGGGTACTGGAGGCCACGCCCACCAGCTCTCACATATCCCTTCAATCTCTAAGAAACGTTTAATTTTTAGTAGGCAGATGCTATTCCTAACATCCTCATTCCTCCCTCCCTTCTTTTCTCTCTCCTAACCACTTTGGAAACTTGTTTGTTACTGACAGATCATTCTAAACCAGTGCTAGACTTTATCTGTTGCTTAGTATTCATATGAACTGATAGAATTTCTCTTGCCTCCAAAGCATTGCAATCTAGGGAAATGTCACTAATTGGAGGAAAATTGCTTTTGAGAAAACAAGAGAATACTTACTATAATCTCTTCTGTATCCCTCTGAAAACACAAATAAAACAAAGAAAAATCAGTTTGGATTTTCTATTTCTATAGTTCTGGTATAATAACACAGAATTATGCAGTCAACCCCCTCAAATATCTAAGCAGGTAAGAAAATGGAGTAAAATCCCTTCATGGCTTAATTTATGAGCTAAATGACATAAAAAATCAGGCTGCTATTAACTAAATTAAATATACATAAAGTAAGAAGAAATAATAGACTATACATGGAAACATTAAAACAGAAGAATATATTGGTTATAAATACGTTGAGGCCAAATGAAAGGAAATGATAAAATATTTATTTAGCTGATTGCAAATAAAGTTCTATGAAATATGGCATGTTATAATGAACACAAAAGCATATATTTATTGTGATTGGGTGTGCATGGAAACAGATTTTCTAAAAGATATATATAGAGAGAAAGCAAATTTATCACTGTTGTTTTTGTAGAAGTGCAGAAGTGCAAAAGTAAATACTAGCACTGATCCTCTGTAGTCAATCTACATTGTGTTGGATGGCAGTATCATTTGATGTTTCACTAAAGATCTGCTCAGAAATATAAAGACAGCATATATTTTTTCCCAGCAAGTTTTCTGAAAATGAGTGCTTTCCTTTCATATTTGGTTGTCACTGTGATGGGAATTAAGTCCAAAACATATAAAATGCTCTGTTTTACAATAATGTTACTTATTTCTTATGGTTCTATAGGAATTTTTAAAAGTGAAAAAATACCACTGAGATGCTGAGAACATTCACATGCTTCACTTGAAATTTGTCATAAAAAACTTTCATGTGCTGGACTTACATTTGCTATAAAATAATATTGAGAATAAATTTAGTTGGTTTCAAAATTTTTGAATTATCATGGCGACTTTAATATATATATGTATATGATATATTTAAATTCAGCTAACTGTTGAGTACTAAATTTTATGTATCTATACTAACATAATGACCTTACTCAACATTTTCCTGCCAGAAGGTTTCTACAGTCTCAAGTTGACTGGCAGATTTATGTTTCTATCTCCAGAAATGATAGGGGGAAGAAGTAAAGCTTGGGAACTTAGAAAGTCAGAGTGCTTGAGATTTGTAAGGTCACCTTAGAGGGGATTGGAAAGTCAGAGAACTAGTCATTTGCTTTTTTTTTTTTTTTTGTCAGAAAGAACCTTTATTACTTTCATTATAGCCTCTTATGCTTTCTTTCCAGATGCCTTTGGAGCAGGTGCTTTCTGGGCGGGAGCCTTTTGACCCTTCTGAGCTTTTGGAGGAGGTGCTGCCTTCTGGCCTGTGGCTTTCTGGGCAGGGACCTTCTGGGCTGCAGCCTTCTAGCCTGCAGTGGTCATCTTTTTTGCTGGAACTTTAGCAGCAGCCGCTGCAACAGCAGCAGCAGCTTAGCAGGTGCTTTTTGGGGAGAAGCTTTCAGAAGAGCTGCTTTTTGAAGCTTCTTAACTTCATTCTTGATTATTCTGTTCTTCATTTTCTTTGCCTTCATAACTTTTAAACGAATTTTAAATCAAAATCTATCATCTTAGCTTTCCTTTCTCTGGCTTCCATTTTCTTGGCCCATCTTGTGGCTGCCCATTTTGTATTTATATCGGCCTTCTGCCAGGCTTGTCGGACATACTTCTGGCGGGCACTGTGTGGGAACTTGAGGATGAAGTCAGTGAGTTGCATGCATTTGAAAGGCATGGCCTGTCTTCTTACCTGAGTGCAGGGTCCATCAACTAAAGCCCTGTTTTATCATAACATCTACATTCGCTACAAGCTTTCCAGCATGAGACCCAAAGGAGACGTAGGCCACTTAAGCTTTACATTGTGGCTTATTCACATAACAATAAAATACTTACTGATTGAAGTTTTTCCCTAAGAATGCAAGAGGATCCCAGAATAGGAAGACACTAAGATTGTAGGCTGTACACTAAAGACTCATAACTAGGACATTGAAAATTAAGCTATTTTTAAATTGTATAAGAATAAACTCTCTACCTGAAATTTGGAGCAAGACAATTCTAAGTTCATATCCAGATTGAATCACTTGCAAACCCTGTGGTTTGGGGCAAGTTATTAACATTTTTCATGCAAAACTTTCTCTTCTGTAATTTAGGGGTAACAATGTGTAGTAAACTATTTTATTCTCTTAAGACTACTTGGTAAGAATCTGCCTAACTGTGGTGAGGAGAATAGACAATAAGAGGACAAAAAGAGTAGCAAGGAAACCAAGAAGAGGTAATAGCTGTTGGTTTTGGAGCTAAGTTGTCATGGTGATGAAAACTGGTCTGATTTGGAATATAATTTGAAAGTATCAGTGATGGGATTTGCTGGTAGATTGAATGAAAAGGATAAGAGAAAGGAAAGAAAATTGACTCCAAGGTAGAAGGCCAAACAAATAGGTAGGTGAATGCCTGTACCCAGGGTTTAGGACTTGGGTTTTAAACCTATAAAGAGTGAGAAGTCTTTTGTATATTTGTGGGATCATTATGTCATGATTACATAGGTTGTTTTCTGCACAAAGGGTTATAGGAACTGAATCCCCATCAGTGTCTTTGTTGTGGGGCTGCATCCACCTAGAGGAAGGAGCACCTTTCTCTAATATGCAGCAAAGCAACCTGTAGGTTAGTGGACGTGTTGATAGCCAGGGAGGGATTTTTGAGGAATTCATCTATGTGTGGCTCACAGGGTTGTTTGTAGATATAAAATAAAATAAAATGAAAAATGTTTGCCAGCATGACTAGCACATAATAGGTGCCATGTACGTTAATTCTCTTTCCTTCCTATTTTGCCTATTTGTGTACTTTTAAATTTCTAACATTGAGGTAGGTTCTTGCCCCCGTTAAATGTGATGTTCTGATGAACTATTACTAAAGAGATTTGTTTCCCATCAAACAGGAGATGTAAATGACAACAGTTGACAATAGCAACAATTCTTTGTGCCCTAAGAATTTTATTGCACAAGTCATACCTTAATGTGGTGAATTTTCAGGGATTTAGTCCTTGATTTCTTAACATTTATATTAAAAAGGACAGATTGAGTGGTTAGTATTTGTGATATGTGGGATGGTGAGTTTCTCTTAAATAATCAGATTACTTTTTTCAGATTTATGGAGGTAAAATTGTATAAAATTTGTATATATTTAAGAGATACAGTGTGATGTTCTGATATACATATATATTATGAAACAATTACCACAATCAAGTTAATTAACATATCCACCATCTGGTATAGTTACCTTTACTTTTCTTTTTGTGATGACAGTTCTTAAGATCTACCCTCTTAGTAAATTTCAATTATACAATACATTATAGTCACCATGCTGTATGTTGGGTGTTCAGGAATTATTAATTTTATAAGTACAAGGTTGTACCCTTCAGCCAACTTTTCCCCATTTCCTTTACTTCCTCTGATAATCACTCTTTCACTCTTTCTTTTCAGCTTAACTTTTTTAGTTTCCATATATATACATGATATCATACAGTATTTGTCTTTCTGTCCCTGTCTAATTTCACTTAGCATAAGGTTTCATCCATGTTGTCACAAATGGCAGGGTTTCCTTCTTTTCCTGAATAGTATTCCATTCTGTTTGTGTGTACATTTGTATGTATATACACACCACATTTTCTTAATCCATCATCATCCAATACTTAGGTTGTTTCCATATGTTGGCTATTTTAAATAATATAGCAATGAAGATAGGAATGCCAATATTTCTTTAAGATAATGAATTTTATTTTCTTTGAATATATATCCAAAAGTGGCATTGCTGAATCATGTGGTAGTTCTATTTTTAGTTTATTGGATGAACTACCATATTGTTTTCTGTAATGGCTACACCAATTTACATTTCCAACAACAGTGCACAAGTGTTCCTTCCCTTTTATCCATATCCTTGCTAACACTTGTTCTCTTTTGGATATACCCTGGTATGAAGTGTTATCATACTGTGGTTTAGATTTGCATTTCTCTGATGTTAGTCAAGTTGAATTCCTTTTTATTTTCTAGGTAGTCATTTGACTATTCATGAGAGAAAGAAGTGGGTGTATTGGATAGCATCCTGCATGGCTGAGGGTATTGGGCATTAACTCACAATGTTTTTAATTTTTCCTGTGGGAGAAATTGTAGGCAAAAGGGTTTCTCTTGGCATTGAGCAGTTCCACCTTAGGGGAGGGGTGATATAGGCAAAATGAAAGTATTTTTCTCATCCTGTTAATACATCTATTCTAGGATTTTACAATCTGAATTTGTGATGAAACTTCTCCACTGGACTCTAAATTGATGCTTCTGTATAGGATGTCAGTAAAGAAAACTTTTATTTTACCATCCTGCTGATGTTACTCTCTCAGATTATTTTTGCTAATTGATTATACAGTGGATAAGAGAGGAATTTCATAGCATTGGGGAAAATGGCGCCTCACAGTGTGAAGGTGAACATTTGTGAACACTTTGAATATTTCCCCCTTTTTCTTCATCTTTACTGAGAAAATTGACAGCTAAAACTTATATATATTAAGTATACTGTGTGAAAATTTGATATGCATATTTATATCCTGAAATGATTACCACTATCAAGTGAATTAATATATCATCACCTCACATAGTTACCCTTATCAGAATATTTTATACACTGCTTTGATTTTTTAAAAAATTCTTAGATTTTATAGCATTTTATATTATGGCAGAAAGACATACTGATTATCCTTTAACTTTGCCATAGTCTCTAAATATACTTACCTAGGTCATCACATGAAGTGTCTAGAGGATTGAAGAAAAAAACAAGATGCTTAATTTCTCATAAACAGATTTCAGCCTTAATTTCTTAACAATCCAATATCTAATTTATTTACCAGTTTCTGTTGAATATACGTGGTGTAATCCTAAAAGAGAACATGAAAATATAATGAGATCCTACCTCGACAAGTATGTCTATATTATTTTCTTATTAGATGAATATCTGTTTACTTCTTCCTCTTTTAGATATCTGAGAGTAAAAAATCTTTTAGGAAAGAAGAACCAGATTAACTTTACCAAGAGCTTTTTAAGAAATAAGTTCATCTGGTTTGGCACCTGTAGCTCAGGGTTTAGGGTGCCAGCCACATACATGAAGGCTGGTGGGTTCAAATCCAGCCTGGGCCTGCTAAACAACAATGACAACAACAACAACAACAAAAATAGCTGGGTGTTGTGCAGGTGCCTGTAGTCTCAGCTACTTGAGAGGCTGAGGCAAGAAAATCGCTTAAGTCCAAGAGTGTGAGGTTTCTGTGAACTGTGATGCCATGGTACTCTAGTGAGGGTGACATAGTGAGACTCTGTCTCAAAAAAAAAGTAAATTCACTAGTCTCAATTCAATTATTAATAGTAAGAGATTTATTACTTTTTTCCCCAGATATTTCAATTTTCTCTGGGTTGCATCTCAGAAAACAAAAAAAAAGAGTGCCATGACCCTTTGCTCCTCAGTCTTGTTCATGACAGATGAACTATAGAGATAAGAAGACTGGACCAAGATTCCAAGTGTCGGGGAGGGACAGCAAGCAGAGTGACTAAGTTGCCTCCTCTTTTCTTTCCTCAATTATTTGGGATCTATATGCTTGTAGTATGTGTGTGTGCATTTTCATGTTTGTGTGTGTATGTGTATGTAATTGTTTATGCATCTACAACCTCATAATCTTATAGCTCTGATTTGGTTCGTGAGTCTATGTTAGACAATTTTAGTGACCTCTAGCAGTTCTAGTGAGTTTGGGACACAGGCCTGCTCAAAGAGAAAACATCCATAGGCAGCTCTGGCAAGTGGATATTGAGAGAGAACATTGAATATTGGGGTGTGAGGGTTAAGGTCAGCCATGTACACAGAAATTAGTAATATGTGTGTGTTCCTGCAGAAAAGTAGACAGTGCATTTGTTTCTTATCATAACCAGCAAATTTCAAAACTTGGGTTTGATATCCAACTCCTTCCTTAGCTAGGTGAACTTGAGTCTCAATCTTTTGAGCATAAATTTCACCTTCTAGAATGAAGATGTTTCATTTCCTCATGTTTTATACTATCTAGCTTTCAAATAATCTTTTTCATATATGATTCCATTTAATTTTCATGAAAAACTCCATTTTAAATATCCAGGAAATTGTTTTAGGTTCCTTAACCTTTCTAAGATCTTGGGGTAAACAGGAACGTGAATTCTTTTTTTTTTTTTTTTTTTTTGAGACAGAGCCTCAAGCTGTCCCCCTGGGTAGAGTGCCGTGGCATAGCTCACAGCAACCTCCAACTCCTGGGCTCAAGCGAGTCTCCTGTCTCAGCCTCCCAAGTAGCTGGGACCATAGGCGCCCGCCACAACGCCCGGCTATTTTTTGGTTGCAGCCATCATTGTTGTTTGACGGGTCCGGGCTGGGGATTTGAACCCGCCACCTTAGGTGTACGTGGCTGGCGCCTTAGCCGGTTGAGCTATAGGCGCCGAGCCGAACGTGAATTCTTTTAATGGTCTTAGGAAAGGGAATTGATTTACCTTTGTATATATGTATATATGAGGTTGGACAATTAAGTTCGCAAACTCACCCTAGAAAAAGTGCTACCTACGCATCTCATTGCTGAATATCATCACTATGGTCACCTTTATAGTATCCCCCTTGGCCATCTGGTGACCATAATATTCCGCAATGAAGTATGTAGTACTTTTTCTAGAATCAGTTCATGAACTTAATTGTCAAACCTTGTATATATTTTATTTATTTATTGAGAGTGAGAGAAAAGGATTGATAGGCAGTTGGATATATAGCAACAAAAGATGTGCTGATGTAATAGATTCTGCTCTTTAA